GCAAGGTACTGATAAGCTGGATCCAGACCGGCTCTACGCTTCTGTCTCAATTCTGCACGATCTCTGACGCAGGCTTGCAGCTGGCCGAAGACAGAGCTAAGGAGCGCGAGATGGCTGGAATCAGCCGCATATGCCTTGAGGAATTCCTGGCGATCCGCATCATCCAAGCACAACTCGTGCAAAGTTTCAACATCCGGCAAACTGCCGTCAGCTGAAAGAGCCGTTTGTAGCCCAGAAGGTAACTGAGCCCACAGATCCAGCGCAGAGCAATGAGATATGGGGAGAGACGTCTCGCTAGAGTCTGACTCAGTGGCAGACGCAGCCATGCCACTCCGCAGCAAGCAAAACGAAGCAACTGCACGCAAACTTCTACAAATGGCAATTCGACACACAGCCCTTTNNGCACAAAGAGCTAGCGCGCGCAACAAGAAGAAACTAGGCGAACAATCCCGCACACAACCGTCTAGGCACTCGTCCCCCTACGATGGACGGCGGTCCACTCCACTTGGGCTGTTGTTGAGGAGGGCCATGCTCTCCACAAGAACGCTCTTGAAAGCCAGCGAAGATCTGAATCCTTCTTTTTAGTGCTTCGGGAAAAGAAGTTTGGAAAGGTGTAAAGTCATAAAAACCACATTCCCGAAGCAGCCCTGCGCAAGGAGACACGCCCAACAAGACGTTCTGCCATCGATGCGATGGCTCAAGCCAAGGAAAAGGCCAGGTGCCCAGGGTTAAGGAGGTTGCCACTGTGGCCCAACGGGCCACACTATATAACCCCTACATAGTCCCTATACCCCCTATACTTTCCATTTTTCTTTTCCATGTTTCTTTTCCATTATCCCATATACCCCCTGTGTTTTTAAGCCCCTGAAGCGGCCTGTCTTCGGATGGCTCTTGTTCAATAGCAACCAACCTTTGGCAGCCGCTGGACTGAGGCACAATATAACCCCAATACTTATATACCCCTACTATAGTTGTTTCCATTTTCTTTTCCATTATCCCTATATATATATATCACATTATTATGCCCCAATATCACCCCAACATATACCCTATAACACAGAACATGTGAGCAAAGGTTATCAAATGCGGCACTGTCAATCCTCAGGTGCAGGCGCCGTCGCCTGCGTTTGGGAGATCCTCCCAATGGGCGCTGTCCTGCCCAAACTCCTGCCATGGAGACAGGCACAAGGAACGCAAAGAAATGAGGATGAAGCAAACGAGCAGCCTCTGGACCCCAAACGATTTCCTCTAATCTAAACTTTGTCACTTCTTGCAAGGTCCAGGCCTGGCTCAATGTAGCCGTCGTAGCCAATGCAAACAACGGGATTCGAGCAGGGCAGCTGGCAGCACAGGTTTATGAAGCACCCGCGGCAAACAGCTTATTCACCAGTGGCAGCGGGTGCCTCCACACACTTGAGCTCCGGGTTCCAGCGACCCATCCATTCCTTTCTCTTCACACCGTAGTGGGTCATAGGTTTTTCACCTCGGCGTGTTGCGTTGAACTCACTCTTTGTTTGGGGCGCACAGCGCATCTCGTGAGAATCTTTGTATGAGGAACGCGCCGCTTGCCAGTTGGTAGATAGCTCAAGAAATCTCCGAAGACTTGCAGCTTTCTCTTACCGCGCTGCCAGTCAACCACCAATACGTAGCTCTGGCACGCATAGATGTAGACTGGGGGCGGGGAAATATCCAATACAAATTAAACTTGCTCAGAAATCCTTCCCATGAATCAGAGAGCATCCCATTTGCAGGTCAGGCAACATGTTTTACAGGTACGGCAGGTGGGGTGCTTGTCTTCCTTGTTGTGCTGCCACGCCTGGAACAGCACAGAGCAATGTGACCTTACATGTGTTGCCGTCACCCGGGCCTGCCAAAAGGTAAACGTGAAGTCCACCACACCGTGATGTAACCAGAAGACAGGGTCAAGAGTCGAATCTGGAAGGTTTGCCATGTTGCCACCTTTCTCGGAGCCAGCTCGCTAAGGAACTACGAAAATTGTGTGGACGGGATGCTCCAAGCAGACTGCCAACACCAACCAGTGAAATGCAACTGGCACCAACCCTACATTCTCCAACTTGTCAACCTCCGCCGCGCCTACATCTGAATGGATGTTCACGTGCATGCTCTCAATGTTCTCCTGAACCCGTTCGAAGTCATCATGGTCATCTGTCAAAGCTGCCTCATCAGAGCGGTTAAATAGCTTTCCCTGACTGACAAGTTATGTGAGACTTAATTCAGGCAACTCACCATGACCACAGGGAGAGGAGCCACGTCAGGGTATCTCCACGGTTTGCGTGATAGGCAAGATGCACCTTACTCGTCAGGCACAAGTCGCGGTAGATTTGAAGACCCAGTCCATCTCAGCAATACACGGTCCCCTCTCGGCAGGGACAAGCTGCATGACGACTTGTCTGCATGCGGATTCATGGTGAAGCCCTTGCCAATGCCCTCTACCACCTTAGTCCGGCATCTGCATCAACAAGTAACTTACTCACCGCGAACAAAGTAAAGGAAAAGAGACATAGTTCTGCAAGCGACGCATTTTGACATGCAAGCTCGGCCAGGGGGCACACTGGGTCCAACCATAATCATAGCACCATTGGGCTTTATATCCGGAGACCCCGAAAGGATTGCCATATCTATTTGGCGCCCATGTCTTGGAACCTGAGCTGGACAGGCAGGTTACACAGCCAAACTCAGCCAATGCTTTTGAAGCAGGTTCAGCCACGGCACCCCAGATGTTTCCTGCTTCTCTGAATGAATTCCAATAAGGAAGCGTGATGCTGCAGTCATTGCAGAGCCTCATCACAACACATGGAAGCCGGATTGCGCAACTACATTAAAAATTGATTCGCCGCAGAATTGCAAGATTGCGGGCAAGTTTCTTCTGGAGAGAGGTTTCCAGGTCATACATCATGTGCCGATGACAGACCCAGAATTCGGCTTCGTTTTCATGGCAAGTCCTTGTCTTGCACAGGCTGCCGATGACAAGTCTGCTTCCGGAGCAGTCGAAAGCCTGCTGTGTGAAAAATTCACACGCAACATCTGCTTGGCAGATTGATGCTGAGATCAATTTTTGATTGAAGCCAAGCCGAGGACATGCTGAAATTGTAAACCTAGTAGCTGTGACAGCACACAGCCTCCAAAGCACGCGGGCTGAAGGGAACAACAAGCACTTTGATGTACATGAGAAAAGGGTAGCACGCTATGTGCCAGTACACCTGTTTGTAAAGTCGCCGGCTGCTGCTCTATTATACATAACCCCAATATTGTAGTTTCCATTTTATTTTCCATTATCCCATAATAACCCCAATATAATCCTTACATAACCCCAATATAATCCCTATGTTACCCCAATCTGACCGAGCTTGAAGAGAAGCCGTGCCAGCATCTTAATTGACCGCATTTGCACTTCTGTACCGACAGCATGCCAAGGCGAAGCTGAATCAAGAAACAAACTTAAATCACGTATATTGGGGTTATATAGGGATACTGGAAAAGAAAATGGCAACTACAGGGCTTATGTAGGGGTTATATAGGGATTCTGGTATGTATTGGGGTTATATTGGGATCACGGAAAATCAAATGGAAACCCGTCACGAGAGCTCCATTCTCACACCTTTCAACAAAAGAAAGGCTGCTGGCTGGCAGCATGTGGAAGGCCAGGAAGGAATCAAACGTGTTTGGGTAGTCCTTAAGGCCTTGGAAGTTGTGAGAATCTGCAAAGCACATCACTCCAGAGATATTGAGGCTGACACACCTGTAGCCGCTTTTGCACGTAGGCTTGGCATCTTTCAATCTACGTAGGCACTTAGCGTACTTCTCGAACTCCTCGTCCTTCCTCAGGTCACCAGAAACCATGGACGCAAAGAGCTCAAGCAACCTCCACACCACGAAAACACATCACCATTTCTGATGCAAGATTCACTTTGTGGATCTCTTTTCGAATGCGGATCTGTGGCCCAGTGCATTCGCCGCTTGCATCGACCGGACAACAATGCTCTTTTGTACCATCAGGAGGATGGAATCCTGACAGTGCATGGGCAATAGCTAGCAGGGAAGCATGCCACAGTCCTTCAGGACCGTTGCGTTTGCGTTCTTCAACGGAATGCCTGTCCTTGTCCACGTGTGCTTGAAGAGTTGACGTCATGATACATCCAACCTGTCATGGAAAGCCTATGATTCATGGTCCTTTCTTAGATTGAGCCATGGGCGTGGCCTTTGTCATTGACGTCAACCGCGGATAAGACCTTACTCAATACCAGGGCTGACACGATAATTAAATCGAACCTGAATTGACCAAAAGCTTTCCACAGATTGTGTCAGGTGAGATGCGTGAGCTTGCAGGGCGGAGCTATCTTCTACCTTCCATCCAAAGGAATCCCTTCACGCGGAAACAACGATGACAGCGGCCAACTGGTCCGCCTTCCAAACTCCATGCACATACAAGATGCCTCGCAGACATCATTGTCATTGGGGACGTTGTGGCATGGCGCAGCATGTCCACCCCAAAGGGCCTCTCACCAGCCAAATGTAACACCATTGCTTTTGTTACATATCCCCTAATGCAAGTATAACGTGATGGACAGAAAAAGCGTGCCGCAAAAATGGCGGCATACGCGGCATGGCGCATCATCATGGGATTGCCTATGCCAAAGCCACAGTTGACTCCATGTTGCCATGTTGAGCATCTTGCTGCCCATGCATGCTTGTGCCAATATGGGATTTGCGGGTTGATTGGACTTCAGGTGTTGCTACGTAGTAGCATGTAATCCCTGAATATTTTCTTGCTGCACTGTGATTAATTTAGGACAAATATGCCTGAGCCGTTCGCATGCGTGCACAAACAATCAGGAATCCTACTTGCCACACTGCCACGAAGCGGCACCACCTGCGCTGTGGCTCATTCTCTGTTGTTAACTTGCACAACAAATTCATACATCTTACACACAGCGAAAAAGAGCGTGACTGAGCAATGACTTTGATTCATTCTTCTCAAGCATAGCATCTTGGCCCCGCCGAGCAATTGTTACCGTGTGGATTTGTTCGCTGAAAAGCTTTGATCTGGAAGTTGAAGAATCGGATCGGAGAAGTAGCAACCCGGAGATCGGAAAATGCAGAAACCTGGATTGAAAAAAGTATGTTGTCCAAATTAGCCTTGAAAGCCTAGTTTCGAGATTAATGAATTCTTGAGAAACATACCACATAAAGGCTTTGCAGCTCCGAAGCCTGCATTCAGAAACCGGAAGCTCAAATTCTACAAAGGGGAGCGTTCTGAGTTGGAAGCTGACACACCGCAGCATTGGCAACTAGACGGCGCAGCTTCATCTCAGCACTGGTCCGTTATGTCAGTGCATGCACATAGAACCAAGAAAAGCAAATGCAGGCATGTCCTCAGCTATTAAGCAGATTTCTGGCCTGCCTTCAAGGTCACCAGCTCCACAAAAAAACTGTTCTTTCTATGCTGGTCGGAATTGTCAACCATCGGAAACACTAAGGATTTTGCTGGTTTTCCTTTGCAAATCGATGGAAAAATGGGGAAACTCATGCCCCCGATCGAGAAACAGCACCATGCATCACACAAGTCGATACAGGGGTGTGATGTTGGAAGGGTGCATCCCGAGTCACTTTTCCTTCAAGTTGCGCTGAAGCTTCACAAAATTACTTGCCATCTCGGAAGAAAGCGGAAAGCTTCACTCCGAAAATGTTTGTTCACCAACGTCGGGCGATTTGATTGCTGACCGCTTCACCCATCTTTGCGTGAGGCTCTCAAAGCTTAACATTGAAAAGATGCTGCCCTGTGGCGCCTGTACTCATAAACTGCTGCACCTACCCCTTTGATGGTTTCCTATGACCATCACCCGGTCATGAAAACCGTCCAGGACGCACTTTCCAAATAAGTAACGGGAAATGCGTGCACATTCTGCAGATGGCTCCGGGCTCCACCCTCTCGTACGCAATTGCAGTACGGGCTCAGGGCTGAATGCATGCCTGACAAGGCACACTCCTTGCATGAAACACTGACGGAAAGTTTGAGAAAGAAGCAATGATCTCAGCTTTTTGCTTTGTTCGCCCCGGCCTCCGGCCGAAAGGTGTCAAGCTAACCAGGATTCAGTCTTCTCCCCCACCCCCTCCCAACACCCTCCCTAGCTCCTGTTCACCTTGCCAACGGCCTCCTTTGCCAGCCCGGCTTCCGAGGCGGACGCGCGCTAGCGCTTGCAAGTAAAATCTGCAATGGAAGATGCTGCAAAGTGATCAACGCTACTCGTCGGGAGCTCCAGCAACAGAACCCTGAGGCCACCATCATACTGCTACTGCTGCTACTACTACTACTACTACTAGAACTACTGACTACTGAGCAGCAGCAACAGCAGCAGCAGCAGCAACAGCAGCAGCAGCAGGCGGTATCAGCACCCGCCATCATGGCCGCCCCGGTGGTGCTGGAAAAGTCGGAGGCATGTTCTGACGTCACGAGAAATTGAGACTGGTTGTCATTCAGTCCTCGCTGTAGGCTGGCTGCGTGCTCTTTTTGGGACAAGCTGCTGGCAGCTTGTCATGTCACCGCCTTGAGACCAGTAGGACAACGAAAAAGGCCAGCCCCAGAAGATATGAAAGTTCACAGCTGGCACCGGATGTTGCCTGTCTATAAGTTCCGCATCATTGCAGAAAATGAACTGAACTGGTCTGTCATCGGGACACATTTGCAACCTTGACTCCTAGCAAAGGCTGTGCCATCCTTTGCTATCGAAGCAGTCTGCAACCTGCGTGCATTGCAAACGTTTTTTATCACACCAGGCTCACGCAATCTGTGCGAGTTTTGGCAAATGAACATCTTTGATGTAGCCCGACGGTCTCTACATGCCCATTGACTGAGACCACGAAAATTGATGATTTCAAGCAGGCACCTCCTATTCGGGATTGACGCTGCAAGTTCAAGACACAAGGAACCAGCAATGCCAGCAATTGAATCTGGGGTATGTCCGTATTGAACCTTGGAATTTTTTCCTGACCGTGGACAGTTTTGTCTGACCGTGGATATTTTTTTCTGACCGGGCGAGTCTTCTGTCTGACCAGGGGCGTCTTGTTCGACCCTGTGCGTGTTTTCTCGAATCCTGGGTCCCTAGCTGTATACTATTGCCCACATACCCCATATTATGACAGCACAGTGCTGGGAAGCCCTACCAATGTGGACATTCTCAGCAATGTCATTGCCTTTGACCGGGCCCTGCCACGCTGCCAGGGCCCTTGCTGGTTGGAAGGGATTGGAATGTGAGCCCCCAAAGGTTTGATGCTACATCCTTGTTAAAAAAGAAAGGGGTTGTGACTGCAGCCCTTGCAGTCAGTTGAGCTGCTTCGTGGTTCATAAAGCAATCATGCCCAGCATCAACGTAAGCTAGTCTAAACTCCTTAATGGGGGTTATATAGGCGAATAAAAAAGGAACTACTATAAGGGGTTATTAAGGGGGATACTAAGCGTTTAGACTATGGCTCACGTGGCAGTTGATTGGGATGTCCCTGTCTGGCCCACATGCAACCGCCAAAGCTGGGCCTTCCTGTTTCAGATTCTACTGTCCCTGAAAGGCTACCCCATGAACATGGCTGGGTGGGGGGGGGCACCAAAATCATATTCTACATAAAAAATTTTCCATTCAAAAACAAGGGAATTCGCAGATCCAAAACAAATTTATGCAGCATCAAAAGAATGTCCGAAGCTATTCAGGCCTGTTCTTCTTGGTCGTGGAACTTTTCAAATGCTCTTTATCACAGCATCCGCTGGTCTCGGAACGTCTCAAACGCTGCAAGTTATCGCGTTTGCTGGTCTTGGCATGCTTCAAACCCTGCAGATTACAGCAACTACTGGTCTTGCATCGTTTCAAAACGGCAAATTGGAGCGTCTGCTGCTTTTGGTTGGAAGGCTTCAACTGCTGTAAATCATAGCATCTGCTGGTCTTGGACCGCTGTAAACGATGCTGATTACAGCGTCTGCTGGTCTGTGAAAGCGTCAAATGCTGTAAATTATGGCATTTGCTGGTCTTGCAACGCTTCTACCGTGGAGCGCTCCAAACGCTGTAGATGACAGCGTCTGCTGGTCTGGGACGGTTTCAACACTGAAAATTACAACATTTGCTAATAGAACGCTCCACTCCTTCATCTACGTCCCTGGTAAAAGAATGGGTTTTTGGAATCAGGGGTCACTTTCTCCACTACACTCAACTCAAACCCTGAAGCAGCATGATACATACTAACTCCACTCCAAAACTCTGAGACGCAAACCCCATAATTGTTGTTCTTGTGCTACTGTGACGATAACCGTGAAAACCATTCATTGTTTTCTTGTGTTACCAGTGCTGTTCTCAGTGTTATTACGGTTGTGGCTACCATTGTCATCAGCATTATTACTGCGAGAAATAAGTGTATCCTTGCTGTTAGAACAGTTGATTGTACGAAACTGTACATAAATCCCAAACCCTGCGGTTTGTCGCGGAGATCTATGTGAGGAAAGCAATTGCGTCTTTACAAAGCAAGGGGGCTGGGGGATGCAGGTCCCTCCCACCTGCAAGTGTCTCATGATGGGATGACCACACAGTGCCAACAAACAGCTGCGGGGCACAGGCCTGATTTCAAAGAAGCGGGGGGTTTGAGGGGTGCGGAGCTCCCACAGTTGGGAAACATATAATCATGAGTGGAAGATCCATCACCTCCGGCACACCGAGTGCCCACATAGAAGCATTACTAATTCCTCTTCCAATCCTTATGTACTTGTAGTATAATTCACGCGCCAGCTTCATTAAATGGGCCACTACACTAGAATCCCTTTTACTTCCATAAAAGAAGTTGGACTAGCAGACAGTAGGACGGGGACCAGCGGACTGCGAGGCCAGCGGGCCACAGACCGCGGCGAACAGACTTAAGAGCTAGGCCATTTGCTAGCTCGTATGTTCAGGAAAAAAGGGCCATCACTTTGCTAATCCTGAACCAGGGGGCACGGGCGCCCGAAGGCGGCGGCTAGAGAGACAGAGAGGAAAGAGAAAGAGAGAGAGAGAGAGAGAGAGAGAGAAACACAGAGAGGAAGAGAAGAACTGAGGGAGCATGCGCGACGGAAGGCGGCGGCTGGAGAAAGAGCCTGTGTGGCCGGCAACGCAGCTGAAGGGTTGGGAATTCGCTGGCTTTTTGGTAACGTAACCCTTTCGCGAACCATAACAAGAACTTCTGGGCTTCAGCACTTGATCTTACATTCTCAAATTTTTGCAGGCGCAATACACTCGCAGAGCAGGTAAAGAAATCTAGCAGCCGTAGAAAATTTGCTGCATTTTCCTGCAGGATTGCTTCCAAGTAGACATGGTTGTTCTCACCCACACAGGCCACGTTCGAAAGAAAGACATCCACTGCCAAAAAAACATGCAAGGTCAGAAGAAGACAAATGCACTGTCACAAAAACAAACACCAAGTGTCCAAAAAGAAACCGCACTGCCCCCCACCCCCCCCCCCCACAGTCAAAGAACAAGATAGGCAGTTCGATGTAGCTAAAACCAAAAAAATGTCACACACAGTCAAAAAGGTCCATGGTCAGAAAAAAGCTACCCACGGGAAAAAATGAGGGCCTCTTAAAACTGCACTGAGCGCTCGTCAATACCTAAACGCTGCATATGAGTTGGAGGTAGGCCTGTGGAATTCTTCACTCTTTCCCTAAAGCATTGCTGCGCATACTGGCCCTTGTGCCTTAGTAGGACCTGTTACCGGTCCTTGCGCGCAGCAAGCTCGAATTGCTTGATCAGCGACGTTCGCTACAGTCCGTCTTGTCTATGTCACGGTCCCTTGCCATGAGCTAGTCTGCAGAAAGCTAGACGTGCGGCAGGACAAGCCTTAAGACTTCCTAGAGCTAGATCGCACTTTCGCTAGCATGTTGGTATAATCCCAAGGTCGAGTCTGACCGTGAATTCTTGGAATGGACTTGAACGCGAGCTTTGAGCGAAAAGCCACTGCGCAAGCATGCTAACAATGCATGTCACTTTGCCAGTCCAATGACAGACTTCTTGTGAAGGTGTAGGTGGCACCATGCAAATGGAATGAAACGCGTAAAACCCACGACACAAAACTTCCAAGCATGTTGAGAAACGGGTACAATGTGCCATCGAACATGTGCCTGGCTCTGGAGTTGCCATTGGCTAGACTCCATTGCCTGTTGGCTGGCAAAGTTGACGTGCCCTGTCCTGGCTAATGTTCGGATCATGCTGCGTCTTAGAACATCGGGCGCGGCTGCTGGTAAGCAACTGATGCCTCACCAGGTTTGCCGGTTGGGACCAAGTACTTTTCAATGTAGCCACACTGTGCATTGAAATCTCATCTGAATTCTGGATTGACCACTCGGTCCAAGACCGCCTCGGCCTCAAAGTCATTATCTGCCGCTTAAACGCATGCGTAACCGGGTACATGACGCGTCAGGAAGGAAGCAAACAAGGGTGACAAGTTGAATCAAGCGTGAACTGCTGGCACGCCTTTGGAATAACTACAATTGAAACTTGCTGCATCGACTAGCGTCTGCGTCATGCCCAGGTTCGAACTACCTGCCGTTTGCAAATTGTGCCCCACAGCGGGATGTCCCCTGCAACGGGATGGCTGAAACTCGAAACCTTTGCCCCTTGGCAAAGCACAGAAACCTGCCCCTGTGGATCGCGAGCGTTTGCTGGTGCTGCACTGACTGAAATCACTGCGTCAGCGGTTGTTGCGGTCACGCCTTCATGGCTCTGCAAATTTGTGGCTCCTTCTTGGAAAACATGTCCGATGAAAAAGATTTCCTGCTGCCACCAAGGATTCATAGGTCAACTTTGCCATACATGTGTGAGACACTCGCTTACAGGGCTTCGAAATAAAGGCTGAATACAGCCACGCCTACGCTACAAGCAGACTCATGCATCGGAATAATGTCTGGTGCAAGTCTAGAGCGCCTGGCACCAATGACATATGCACCGGGCCGCCTTTTGGCCCCAGGTGCATCCAGCGTGCAGTTGTTCAAAGCCCGTCCCGCAATGGTCATCAAGTCGATTTATTTTAAGCATCGCTAAAGCACCCCTGTCCTAGAGGGGCTTTCTCAATGATGCATACTTTCTGGGAGCGTTTACAACAACCCGCCGGTGCGTTGGGATCCGCCAAGCTTCTCCCTACGCCCCAACTCGCTACAACGATTCGACGATGTAGCTCGAGGCGTGAATTTCTTGCGTCAATCATTTCCGCCTAGTTCACGCTAGCCAAACAAAAATCAAGACAAAAAAAAAAANNAAAAAAAAAAAAAAAAAAAATCCATGACGGACGCTTTCAAAGCAGAGGAAGCCCCTGTACAGCTGCCTACAAGGATTCACGACGAACTGGAGAGTGTCTTCCTGCTTCCGGCCTTCAGTTGCAGGAGCAGTGAAGGCAGAACAGCCACACTTTCACCGGAAATGATAGCTAGCACCACCACAAGATCCTTGTTGCAAGACCTAGCTGCGCATGTGCTCAAAATCATCCTGGAAAGATGGCCAGTACTTACAAGAGACAGTCGGGAGAAAATACCCTCAAACCTCCGGCAAGTGACAGACCTTTCCCTCAAACATCTATTTTGACATAGCCTCACACCTACGACCTACGATGACACATCAACCTCATGCTATGGAAGTAGCTCGGCCGTTGCGTCGGGTCCAGTCCCGTCCAATGCTGCTTCAAGATCAAGGTCTTCTTCAGGAAGCTCTTCACTCAGCCGGTTTCTGGATACCTGAACACAAGGATACTCTCAAACGCTGAGACTGCTTGCTTGAACTGAGCTGGACATCACTTCCGAGAAATCATGCAGGGCAATGGCGTGGCCAGGTTTGCGAAGCAAGTGCCAGAGTGCGAGGCAAGCTGCATCTTCTGTGAACCGCTTCAACTCTAAAACAATCTTACCCTCCTGAATGAATTCCTGCTGAGGACCGATGAAGGTCATGCGCCCCTGCATTGCGCAAGGCCGTGGACTCCGCTGCTGGAAACCGGCCCAATTTTTACATCTTCAGATCTTTATGAGTCTGTGTTCGTGACATCAGCCCTGAAGCTCCTCTCGCTTGTACCGTGGCGTAGACTACTGCCGACTCTTTTCCCCATCTCACTGAAAGCCTACCCCCTCAACCTTCAGTGGCGGTGTTCGTGCTCTTTTTGTTGGTTTCACCCGCTTCTGAACTAGCTGCTTACGCAGGTCTTTATGAGTCTTTCGAGCATGGTGATCACTGCAAGCGTGGTGCAAGCTATCACAAGCTTTTATACATGTAGAACTGCAGGAAAACACAAGCAAACGCAGCACTTGCACGTAATCTGCAACAGCACAGTTTAAGCAAAAGCGCAAACGTTTCACACATGCCCGCACGCTCACAGCGAAACGGGCATGGATCATGCTTCTCATTCAAGAACCAGTCGGCAATGCAGCCTTCCTTGGTCTTACACACAGTATGTGCTGGTTACGCAGGGTGCTTCGGTAAACAAGCTTCTTACGCCCTAGCACATCTTGGTGCACAGCTAGTCACTTTCGCCTGAGACATTCGTTTGAGAATCCAAAAACTGCAGGCATACCTTGAGCGGGCGTACAGCTAGTTGGAGCTGCCAAGGAGCATGGAACACATGCCCACAGCCAAGCTGGATCACCTGAAGCATGTGGGAGTACCTCTAGTAGTACCTCTGACTGGGACTGCTGCTGAATTCAACCCATACCCCTTCCCCTAGCAAGGTTCCCAAATGCGGAAGTAAACTGCACAAGAATGACACCTATGCAAAGACCTTGCAAAAATCGGGAGAATGAAAGCCCAGCTGCTTCATCATCAGGCTCAAAGTTGCCCAAGCAAACTATGCACTGGTCCTGGCCATTATAATGCACTGCACAGCATTGCTATGTGCCTGAAAAGGGCTGACACGTTCAACATCCAGATTCCGTAGCTTCCGCAATATGAAGATTCTGGAATAGTGCTCAGGAATGGACAATTAATTAATAGACACACACACGCATATATATATATGCATATACGTGCCTGCTATGTTATGTTTTGCCCCAGCATGCCAACAAACTTGAAAGATTGAAACTGGCTCTTTCCGCGGGCATGTCCTGCAAGACCATGTTGCTCTCTACGGTGCTGGGCGTCCTGCAGGAGAGGACCCTCGTCCCTAGCAATAACTTAAAGGTAAATCATCGTTTCTATCTGCTGAGCCGCGTATTCGGGGAGGCATGAATTTTCTGCCGTACGAGCGAGGTCGGCAAGGGACATCGATGGGTGAGGTTTCAGGCGGCACCAAAACATCAAGAAGATTCATGAACTTGACAGCCATGGATCCGTGCTGGCAATCCTCGGACAATGGGCTCTGCTGGGCTGTTTGTAGGCCTATACACTCCAGTCGGATGGCCAGTGAATTCAGGAACAACAAAGAAGCACGTGCGGAATACCGGAAACAGCATGAAACAGGAGGACCACGTGCTGGGAACAGGGACAGGTGGGGCTTGCCAAACCCCCATTCCTCCGACTCTATGCCTCACATTCCCTGCATGTTCGTCAACATTCCAAACAAAACACGTTGCATTTGCATCCAAGACGCCCAAGACATTCTAAAGTCTTTACTGCCTGCCATGGCAATTGACAGGACCGCGCGGAAAGTCCTTTCGGAGCTGTGCGATGAAACCTGAAGGTCTCCGTAGATCAGTCCTGAATGTAAGCAGGTCAACAGTCAATCACAAACCTGTCTTCAAGAAAGCTGAGAATGGTGTTGGTTCACCAAGTCTCTCGGCAACTTCTCCAGAACATTCTTTCGGTTGTCTTTCTCCTGCTTCTGTACTGCAACCTGGGCCCGAGAGCTCACATTCAATCTGCAACATAGGTCTTGGAATACACTCAAGTCAAGTTGAGCTGCCTCAAGTGACTCCTTTCGGTAAAGGGTCCACTTTCGCGCGTAGTAGGCCACAACAATCTGAGCGCGGGCATGGCATCGTTGTTTCTGAACATGCGTGGAGACTGTTGATCATGATAAGAAAAATCTTACCACCCTTGGAATTGCTGCCCGACAGCAGTGCAAACGTCACACACCAGAATGCCAACGCCGACGAACCAGCCGGTGGTCAAGCCAGACCATCCAAACAGCAGCATCATAATATGCAGCATGAGGAGCACAACCTGAAATTCATGACCAGGAAAAGAAAGCAGTCAGTCGCCTTTAGATACCAGGCATACCTTGCACGCAGCAACTCTCTTTTGGCAGATGCCGGGCCTTCACAGCAAGAAAGAGGACCATCATCAGTGCTGCATCCTGCGTTGATTCTACAGCCCTCTTGCGCTCGGTACTTTGCCAGGATATGCCTCAATATGTCTAGCAGGCGCTGGAAACTCAGCGCGCCTCATAGCGCGCACTGTTGTCACCAGGCAAGCGGCAAAGCTCCAGTAAGCATCTCAGCATCCAGAAATAGCTCACCAGCCCTGCCTTGGCGTGGAGGGCCCCCCTTAAGTAGATAGACTATGGCTTCGGGTATATTATAATGAAATCCCATGTGTCCCATATTCTATCTACTAAAGGGGGACTACATACACAACTTAGCAGGTGTACAAGCACAACTGCATACAACTATTCATGCATTTCTCGAGAATGTGCCCTGTCTGTATGAACTGTTGCACTTCTTTGGAGGACACGTCCCGTCAATGCCGAGATGTCCCAAGGTTCAGGCCAGGGTGATGCCACTTAAGTAGGCCAACTCGCTATTCGCCATCAGCCTGTCCAGGGAAGATCGAGGTGGTTATTACTATTGTTATTGCTATTAGCACAAGCACCATTCTTACTATACGAGTATTGTTACAGTTGTTATTACAATTCTGAAGCTCCCAAGGACCTGCGCGGCCTTTCCGCTTCAAAGATGCTCGGCCGGCTGCTGGATCCCCTCCAGGCAACTCAAGGCCGAGTGCTTCACTGTTCGGGCGCAAACGCTGCGAGCAAGATAAAATTCCAGATGACATGAAGCTCACACACCATTGCCAGCTGGACCTCGCATACAAAAAACTGAGGAAAGGCCTAGTGTTTTTCCTGCCCGCTGGTGGAGCATGGGCGTCGTCACTACTGCCCGCCGTCCTCAGTTGCGCACCGCCAGCAGCTACGTGTCAGAATCATCATCCTCCACACTATCATTGTCAATTCCGATCTTTCCCGCTTGAGAGGTGGTCGTGTCCACGTTGTTTGGAGTTGTGGTTGCCTCCTCCTGCTGGGAGCCTGTTCCATCATGTGAAGTTGTGGCCGCATCGGAGAGGACTTCCCGAATCGGTGCCATCTGAGAGTTTTGCTCCGGCCTTTCCTGCGGCACATCGGAGCCTCCCGTGTCCTCTTCAGATTCGTCCTCGTCCTCGTCCTCATCCGCGTCTTCTTCTTCCTTGTCAGCTGCTTGTTCCTTGTCTTCAGCTTGTCCTTTTTCATCTGTTTGTTTTTTGTCAACTGGTTGTTGTTTGTCTTCTGCTTGCTGTTTGTCTTCCGCGGCATCTTCCTCGTTGCGATCTTCGCCTTCGTCTTCATCTTCATCTTCGTCTAGACCATCATTAGGTGGGGGAGGATCCTGATCTTCAGCTGCTGCAGTTGTGGTGGATGATTCGCTCGGACCGGACTCGGAGGACTCATTGCCACTCAGCACTGTTTTAACACGATTCACCTTTGCCAGGTTGTCCTGCTTCACTGCAGAACCAAATCTTCTGATCAAAGCAGTGAAGTTTTTGTTCCCCTGGCTGATTTTCTCCAGCAGCTGCTTCCATTGCCTGCTTCGTGTCATGACCTGCGAAGCTTTCGTCTCCAGGAGCTCTACCAACTCAGGGAACTTTGCGAACTGGCGGAGATCCTCTTCCTGCTTCAATCCACAAGCAGCCTAAAACCTACAATTCATCTTGCAACTATAGCGGTTGCTTTTTGGGGGAGGGGACTCAAAAGCGCAACTTTGCAGGCAAGACCTAAGGCGAGCTAAATTCTGGGGCAGCCAGTCCTGCTTGGACCGGAAGCGGCTGTAGAAGTGCCTCCACTTCAGGCTTTGCCGGTCACCCTTTGGGCCCTTGCTTGTGTCAGACTTTTCGGGCTGCTCTGGAGCAACTTTATCCTGATCAGCTTGTGCAGTTGTGCCGGTTTCTTCTTGGCTGCCTCCACTGCTTTCTTCATCCATGTTGTATGTTGTCGTCTCGTCTTCTGCTTGGTAAGTGGTTGAAGTTGGCCCTTCATCCTCTTGGTCCGCCTCAGCCTTGGCTGACTTTTCTGAGGCATTTTCGCTCTGCAGCTCCTGCAGAGCCTCCACGATATCATCGTAAGTGAAGCCATTGGCAGCCACCTGATCCAATGCGAGACTTCCGCCACTTTCGAAGGAACCGCGTTCCGCCGAGAGACGGGTAACCTGGCAAATGAATGCCAGAGGCAAGCTCAGCCTGAGGCCAAGCTTCATGCTCACCAAGCTAGCAGCTGCGGATGCAGTCCACAGCGGCAAGCTCGGAGGGAGGGCCTGCTATGTAACGCTACGCAGCCTCTAGTTCCATAACGGCCGCTGACATGACGGGATGAAGCACTGCGCATCCACATCGTCTGGGTATCTTTGCTTGCAGAAGCGCTGGGTTATCACGTTGCAATTGCTCCGCCGCCGCCGCCGCCACTGCCACCGCTACCGCTACAGGCGTACCACTACTACCTCCGCTTTCAGTGGCCACTCCTTCTACAGCACGATCATCGGACTCAGATCACAATCTTGATCATCGCCATTATTATCATCCCTCATCATCCTCATCCTCCCTACCCTCATTATCACCGTCATCTTACCTTCAAAATCACCATCGCAATCATCCTCACCATCATGCATGCAGTCAGCAAGCGCAGACCTGATGCAGTACGTGCTTGGCTTTTGGATAGCGACGCATGTGATCGCGACCAAATTCTCTTCCAGCTGGGAAGGTTTGTCTGGCAGATTGGGCTGGACTTTGGCCAGAGCCAAACGGCTCGTCACATCATCTGGCAGCATGCAGATCCATGCCTGAGCTGAACAAGTAGCCATAGCTTCCTGTAACATCCTTTGGCCGGGCAAGCAGCGGCAGCTGTGCCACTTTGAGACAAGCGGCATTTTGTCGGCAAGGATCCGTGGTCCTAGCTGCGAAGCTGCCACGGGGCTGATGGAGGAGTTCCATCTCAGATCCAGCTCCTTCGAAGCAAGCACACGCCGAGACTCACGCAAAGGTTTCACAGGCGCACGTAGATACTACCATATCCAAAGCGTCCTTCAAGGTGGAATTGGACGTCATGGCATCCACCAAAGCCAAAGCTCCTGTGTCCTCGGATGTCCAGACGTGGAAGTCATCCAAACCTAAGCCCTCCAACCTGCCTGGACAATCGACGCATGGGCAGCAAGCTACCAAAAACAATGTTGACGTCACATCAATGTCTGCGAAAACGCTAATCCGTGCCAGAGCTATCTTGCAACTTCAAGACCATCTGCAAGTGGAACCCATCACTTGGCCCAGTCTGCTCTCGTAGCAACCGCGGAAGGGGATGAACACATGAAAGCCTGGACCCTGGATCTCTGAGGTTGCCACTCCGAGCAAGTTGTTGCTCAAACTCAAGAGTTCCAAGGATACCTTGGCTGCTCCTTACACCTGAAAGTGTAGGACCCTAATCATGGCCACACAAACATGCAATAAACAGGCACCGCCAGATCTCACCCAGTTGCGTTGCAGCTCAAAGTTTTGCAAAATGCCTTGGCTCCAGCCTCAGTGATTTTGGTCGGTTTGGATGCTTCGCTGCTTGCCAAAGCAACAGCTCCGCTCTTCTGAAGTCCTGCATGGTGCCTCTGTCAGCTAGTTCTCTGGGCTTGGGCCCTTCGCGGGATCCAAGTCTTGATCTATTCTTCCAGTGAAAAGGAACAGCATCAGCTTTCAAGTTAGACATGAGGCCTCCGCTGCGCACACTCGATATTAGGCATCGCGCCTCCATATCTCAAAAAGAAGAAACACAGCCAAAGACAAGCCAGCAACATCACGGATCTGATTGGCGTTGAAGCAGATCTCCCGAAGATTGCCATTAACAGTCAGGGCTTCCGCAAAAGCCGAAGCCCCTTCATCAGAGATGGCGTTGCAACGAAGGCTTAGGACTGCAAGCGCCTTGTTCTCTCGCACAGCTTCTGCCAATACGGCAGACCCCGGATCTTGCAACTGATTGCCATCCAAGAAGAGCGTTTGAATGGAGACATTCGCTGTTAGACCAGTTGCTAGCAGCTGTGCCTCAAAGTCACCAATCCCAACCGCCCTAAGCGATAGCCTCTGCATGTGTTTGAGATAAGGTAATGCTGAGATTAGCTTTGGCAGCTGGGCAGCTGCCATTGAATCCAGATGCAGGAATGCACAGCCTGCAGCCTTCGTTTTGAAGGCTTTCTCTTGCAAGCGGCTGACAACACCCGCATCGCCAGCCCTGGAGAAGTGTAGCTTTGATGCCTCCAGCCATTCGCGAAATACGTCCGGAGGCATGGGGGCCTGTGCCTGGCTGGGCTTATCTTCGCCAACATGATCGAGCCACACAACCTTTGGCCAATTCTTCAAATGAGACCAATGAACTTCAGAGCAACACCAGCCACGGTCGAAGAACGGCGTCGCATTTTCGCTCAGGCGAAGGCGGCTCAATTGGACTTCCTCCAAGCAGCCGTTGTTTTGGTAAATTGCGATTAATCTTTGGCTCTCTGCCCTTTCGGATGCTGTCGCGTGGCCCTCGATACAAAGCGTCGTAGTGAAGTCATGCATGTAGAGCATATGCATGTTTTGCAGGGCCTTCTGAAAGTTGCGCTCTTTCAGGGCATCACGCCCTTGATGATACAAGCAGACCGAATCAATGAACAGCCAGTCATGGTCAGCCAGGAATGAAGACGCCAAGATCTGCAGCTGATGGCCGAACGGATCCGGATGTTCCAAAGACTCCCAGCAATGCGACACAGCAAAGATGGTCTCTCTGGGACGGCTTCCGGACGACCTACAGGAAGAATGCATGCAGCCCCTGCAAAGCCAGGACATTGCAGTCTTACCCAACGTTTCATGACCCACTGGTAAGCCACTAAACCCGAACAGAGCTCCAACCGCGGCTGGCCTTTGGCCCTCAGCCCAAGCCAGCAGCTCTTGGTCAGTCACCAATGCTGGCTGATCAGAATGCCTGCGAGCCTGGTCCACCTTCAGGATTAAATCCACTAAGTCTTTGACATCACAAACTCGGAAGTTGCACACAAATCAGCAGCATGAGTGGGCCACACACATGTGAGGAGGCTCCACTGCAAGGACTAACCTTTGCGCAGACCGGGGGTGGGGCGTCTGAAAAGTGCGGTGTATGTTGTCCCCGCCTGCTGACGCCAAGGAAGGCCTTGCCCAGTAAGTTCCCGAAGGAAGCCCACACGCACCAAGCCTGAGGATCGTGTGTGCTTGTGCTCTATTTGCAGTTTTTTACATGAGGGCGACCACATACGAAAGTTGATGCAGCAGCACCACCCATACTGGCTAAATCATGTCCGAATCATGGCATCGTCCGTTCAAGATTGCTCTGTTCTTGTTCACTGAACTACATGAAGCGTCTTGGCCCTTCAGGCACTAAGCGAATTATTCATTCTGACTTTGGTGAATTCTGCGCCCTGCGGTCCAACAAGCTGCCCAGCCGAGCAGCCGATGTCACAATCTAGGATGAGCTTCACCAGATCATCGGGATTGGTCGGGTCATAGTCCTGACGGAAAACTGCCAAAGCGAAGGGCAAGCTGCGATGTGGCCAATTAGGGCAGATACCTGCGTTGAATCTGGAAATTTATCCCTTTTGCTCCATGTGCAAGCTGGCAACCTTTTGAACTGTACACTGTACAGGGCTTCCCTGCGACGAAAATTTTAGGCAAGCTCAAACTTTGCAACAAGTTGGGTCAAGGGCAGCTTTTGCAGGCGCCTCTTCTCTACGTCACTAGCATTCACTTGAATCGCAGCAGCTTCCACTACCACGTTGCGATTACTCAGCAAGGGCTTAGGGAGCTTTATTCGATGCCTGCGAAAAGCCAGCAGGGCAATCTGCTCTCGGCAGCGCATGGCCTCAGGCAGAAGCTCATAAACGCTCGCATCATCCTCCAAGGCTGCGCTGACAAGGTCAAGATCCAGACGGAGCTTGTCATTATCAAGAAGCTTGTGCCAGAAGGCCTGCTTCTTCGGAAGCTCACCTGCCAGCAATGCCGCGGGCTCACGTGCCTCAGTTCGGATTCCTCCAGATGGGACAGGCTTACCTGAAAGGCCAGCAGCAGCCCGGAGCCCCTCGTCAGAATGCAGGTCCTTCCTAGCTCGCAAGAGCTCCTCTCTCCGGTGACACAGCGGCAAAGACAGCAAGGCCCGCAGGACGACAGCGCGGTCACCGTGTAGAGAATCCGGCAGCTTTTGCAGAATGGAGGGCAAAGTGTAACTTCGGGAATTGCCTTCATGGAACGGTATCAAGCAATTCAAGATGAAGTTCCTGTCCGCTTTCAAATCATCAGGCACGTGCAATAAATTCCTGACGGATGCTTTGACTGCATGCTCCGCAAATTGGCGATCGCTCTTCAGCGTTTCAGATGCATATTGAAACGCAAGCACGTATGAAGACATTGCAGCTCTGACCAGTTCCTCGTCACCTCGGAGCTCACAGGAAGCGTGTTGCAAAGCCACTCCCTGTCGGGCTACCATCAGCAGCATGAAGGCCTTGTCCGAGCACATACTTTCGGAAGTATGCCAGTGCCAAGCGGGAAGTGGATCGTTCTGGCAGGGGCTCTGTCGCAGCGCAGCGGACATGAATTCCAAATCCGCACCCAGCAACGGGTTGGCATACCTTTTCTCAGAATAAACAAACCAGCCACATGACTTGTCAAAAAAAAATCTTAATGATGAGAATAAGGATCATGGAAAAGAACATGGAAACTATGATGCTACGACAGGGGTTGTTATTATTATTGCTACTATAACTCTTCTTACTACTCTTATAACTATCTTATGCCATCCCCGACTGCAGACTGGACCAAGATGTGTATGTGAACACTCGCTTGGGTAAGCCTTCTGGCTCATTTCCCCCCTAAACCCTAAACCCTGAACCCAAGCCTACCCTAAATGGCTTATTTCATGCCAGGGCGCTTGTAAAGAGACCCGTTGTGCTCCATGGCAGCAAGCATAACCTCCAGGCCGGGAATGAGATCCTAGGGTCTAGAGGTTTAGGGTTTAAGGTTTACGGTTTAGGGTTTAAGGTTTAGGGTTTAGGGTTTAGGGAGCACAAGGATGGGTATTGGGATAATGGAAAAGAAAATCGAAACTGCTATATTATAATGGGGTATGTATTTAGGTTTATATTTGGGATAAGTGGAAAGAAAATGAAAACTACTATAGTATAATGGGGTATGACGTTATGTTTGTTTGTGACTATGGAAAAGAATATGGAAACTACTATACTACAATGGAATGGAAAAGAAAATGGAAACTACTATAGTATGATTGGGTATATGTTTGGGTTATATTTGGGATAATTAAAAAGAAAATGGAAACTACTAAATGGGGTACATATTGGGTTTATTTTGAGATGATGGAAAAGAACATGGAAACCACTATAGTATGATAGGGTATATATTGGGTTTCTTCTGGGATAATGACAACAAAAATGGAAACTACTACTTATGCCTGTGATCACGAAGTTGAAACGAGTTCACTAGGCGTCCTTTTGCATTCCAGCCCTGCCTCACGATCTGCCCGAGCCTGGTCTCCAGCAAACTTCACTGCTTCGCCAGCGCTGCGGTGAATGGCCGCCAACACCAAGTCCTCAGACATGCACCACTTCCTGCAATTTATGCTGATTTCTGGCCAGTAGCTTGCAAGATCCCAAGCAAGCCTACGAACATGAAATCTATCTGTATCTCAATCCGGGATAGGATGGATTTCTGCCTCATATCCTGGCCCTGACAACTTGCCCAGGACCCCCCAAAAAAATAGCCCGCCCCGCTCTTTTTCATGACCGTACTTTCGGCCAGACGGATGCTGTCACCAAGTGTCCTTGTCGTTGCGCACTGCCTCAGATGCCTTCCGCAAACGACGCCAATCCTCTTCGACTTCTTCAATCCGTTTGTCAACTTGCAGCAGTATGACTTCGTTGGGGGCTCCTAGCAGGAGAGCTCAGACACCAACTTTCACATCAGGCTATGCTCTAGACTACTGACCTCAACAGCTTAAGGTGACAAGCAAACAGCTTCAGAACTGTCCTTCTGTGAGGAGACTGCCCAAGGCTTCACCATTGGATAGCAGCTTGACCCCCAGTAGCAGCTTCTGCAAATTTGGCTTGATCTGCGTGCTCTTTCGAATCAATTCTTTCAAATCGGCCACCGTTTGCGTGGCTAGCACCTCAAAGGAACAAAGCAAGTCACCAGACAATGCACGCACCGCGACTTCCATTCTGCGACTGTGGAGGCCGAGATTTGGGCTGCAAGGATTATTGGATTGCTGTAGTGGTGGTAGCCGTGGTAGCAGCGGGAGTAGGAGGAGGTGTGGCTGTATGACAGGACGATTGGAGATATTTCATGACTTCCATGAATGGAGCCAAACAAGCTTGCGGATGTGAAGCGGTGGCAGGTGGATGCGACTTAAGTGGCAGCTCTGCTGGAGGCACGTCCTCTTCGGCTTCCTGGGTGACTTCAGCCATGGCGGCACACAGAGACCATCTTGGTCTTTGTGGGCAGTTGTAGCTTAAGGTAGTGTTGTGGCAATGCAGGTCCTGGTTCTCCTCATCTAAGCAGCCAATGGGCCAACGGCTTCTGGAAGCAAGTCCAAACGGGCACAGCGCTGGCTTTGCATGTTGGCAAAAACCACCCTGCCCCTGTCTACGTCATTGGTCTTTTTGCCGCATCCCTCTTTCGGCTGCTGTCGCCCCTGCAGCATCACTTGCAGCATGCCTTGCTTCCATTTCATCGCAGAAGAGTAGCCGCATTTGCCACAATGCACTTGCCGGAAGATCCGCGATGAGACAGAAACCAGCGAACCCTCAGCAAGATGACGCTTGTGTCAGCCTACACACTAAAGAGATGAATAAATTGCTGCATAAAGCATGCTAACTATCAATGTCAATCAAGGTGTTCTACAGAACAAGCTGCGCACAAGCCTCATGGTCGCACCCCTGCCCCAAACCAGACGACCAGAGAAAACGGAAGCTTTGCTTTATTCTTGCTTTATCATGCCTGGAGCTTAGATTCAATCAGTGTGGAGGGCAGGGCAAGGCTGGAGAAAAGGAAAAAGGCGCAGGACACCTTGCTTTACAGATTGCCCGCCAGGGACTCTAAGGAGATGAGCAATGAACATGGGATTCATCTTAGGGATTTGTTGGGGACCCCCTTAGCGGCCTTACCGTTTACGAGGCTTCTGTCACAGCATGCGGCACGAACCTGGATTCCCTGATTCGTTGAACCCTCCTTGTCTCTGGTCTGTCCAGCTTGGACCACCTATGGTGAGCTACGGACTGCGGACGCCGGGAGTTGGTCATATATGGGCACGTCATCGTGGAAGGCAACGAGTATGCCTATGCTTGGAGCGATGCACTCGCTTCCCACCTGTAACGTAGCAAAGCGTCACTGCTTCAATGGTGGAGAGTAGCAGCTCGCGTGCTAACTGCATGAATGACAGGGACACACGAGTGCCCAGACCGTGGCCTCAACTTTTGCAGCCAAAGAGAGACTTCAAATTCCTCAGTATCAGCATCCCTAAATCTGCCACTGAAACAATTTTGAATCTGCAGTTGTGAAATGAAGGCACCTTTGGCGGTGTATCGATCCGCCCAGGACCACTGCTACCTCAGATTCGCAAATCTGATGTCAGGCTGTAGGTTCAGCACTTTTCTTGCTGCTGACGGCCTGCTTCTAGGGATGCAACGCCCTCGCAGGCAAACCTGACCACAGACACGCCAAGGCTCCACTCCATCCTTCACTGAACACGGGGTCCAAGGCTTCCCAGATTCACGCGAGTCACAGCTCGACACAGTTGCAGGCAAGCTCGAGTTGGTACTGGACGAGCTGGACGAGCCTGAGCTCGGCGCTTCTGCGGGCGGACGCTTCGGACGCTTCTCCTCAGTTTCTGTTGACGTTGAAGCCAAGGTGTCGGTCGGGGACTCTGGTGCTGCCGTGCTAGGCGTGGCAGAACCACTCACCAGCGCATCCCGCTTCGGAACCAGCTTGAGTGCAGTGTCTTCTCTTGTCTCCTGCGACTCACCTTGGGATCTTAACTCTTCCTGCACTTTGGCAACCTCCGACTCCTGCGACTCTCTGGACTGGGCGAGAGTAATGCCTTCTTTTGAAGACGCCGCCTGGAGCAGACTTGCTACATGAACCTTGGCAGGCGGCTCCTCAATCTTGGCCCTCCCTCTTTGTCGCTTCTTTTGTGCTTTTGCCTTTGTTGCCGCCTTCCCACATGCTGGAGGACCTGTCGGCAACAACAATTACAAGATGTCCGCTCTGCGTCCAGATTATTGGGGCACAGATAGAGGGGTTCTTCATGAGTCCCCTCTCCTTGCTCGAGTACAGACAAAAAACTCCAGCTTGCAAGGCGTGAGCCTTCGGCACTTGTGGCGGCGCATTCAAGTCGATCTGCCGCACTCACTGCCACACCGCCCTCTGATGACCTCAGAAAGCTGCAAGCAGACGCCATTTCAGCTTGTCATTTTGGTGACAGAATGTGCTGGAGAGATCTGGAGAGCAATGGCCCTGCGCTTGCATCCAGCCACGCGCTGAACTTGAGGGCCGATTTTTGGAGTTGTTGCTCAATACCTCAGCCCACTGGCACGGCACATTGTCCCGTGCCAAACTTCACATCGGATTACAATTTTACAAGGGCCAAGATTGCTCAAGGAACTTACGCACAGGAACCCCAGTGCGAGCCCCGGCGAGCTGCGCACGGCTGTAGCTTCAGCACCCAGTCGACGCAAGGCCGCCTTGAGGGCAGCGCCCTGGACCCGGGCAAAAGCCAGGCGGCCTCAGCGAAGGCTAAGGCGCAGATGTTAGATCATGCGTAGCAGCAGAGTGACCAGGAACAGTCTCGAGGATGATGGTCCGAGCCACTTGTGTTGCCCCAATGCAGCAGAATTCTGAAGATGGGAAGGGTCACCTCCCATAACAAAGTTGTAGGTCTCCAATGACAGGACGACATCCGTTTTGAATGTACAAAGGGCCCCGCTAGGCTTGGAAACTCCGAAATGAAGTAAGCGAAACGGCAAATCAGGCTGCCTCAGCAAGCAGCCCATCCTTCGCGGCCAGCTTGGACCAGCTACCCTGGCATAGGTCACGCTTCTTCGTACCCCATGTACTTGCCAGCCCCACCGGCATTCCCTAAGTATTTGGATTCGAACTACAAGTATACTACATGTATGATTTGGTTTACATCCCTCCCCAACAGCCGAAATCATGGCCCTCCTGCCTTGGCCGTCGCGCTGAATGCAGGGCAGCGGCTCAACAGTGGCCAGAGGCATCTCAGCTTCAATCCGCTTAAGTGGGGGGGGAGGAGGGGTGCGCAAAATTAGGGGTACCTCTAAAGGAAATGTAGGGGATACATAGCGGTTATATCGGGTTTTGGGCTTAGCGTTTCGCAAAATTAGGGGGTTACCTTTCTGACCTTTTTGGAGGTCCCTCTAATGAGGACTATAGTATATCAGGACACTACCCAGAGATCACGATACGCAAGCCCAGCGACACGCGGCTGAGTTGTACACCGGGATTTTTGTCCACCACCTTTGCGGTTCCATCACTTCAAGTAATGCAACATTTGACAACAACGAATCAGCCTCGGCCAGCCGAATGGGGACAGCCCTGCCCTTTGGCACTGCTGGCACCTCGAACTTCTCATCCTCAACCTAGCGTAGCTAGACCGTAGGTGACAAATGTATCAATCTTTGTGAACGGAACCTACTGCCCGAGGTAGCGACAAGACACTCACCGCTGGCTGGCTCCGTGTCTAAGTTGACCTTGAAACAACTTGCATGGCCTCCCTGGCCATGCTCAAGTGCAATTTCCAAATGTTACAGTACACCACATACCCGCAGGTCAGGGCAGCGCCCTACTCTACTTGGCCATGGGGCAACCTTCGCGAATCCATGAGCGAAATCGAATCGTCGATCTTCAGTCCTTGGAAGCTGCAGGGAAGCAGACGCAAAACGCCACCGTGACAAGCAGTAACACAGTGAGGACATGTCAGAGCATCCCTGCAGACAACTTGGCCAGCTGGTGTTAAATTCAAGACATTGGGCCTAACATAAGCTACTGAGGGATGATCTGGAATGAGAATATGAGCACTCTTTTGCCAGCAAGAAGCCTCCATCCCAAATCAATTGCCTGCTTCACAGTGCCCGCCTTCGAATACTTTGCGTAGCCTGAAGTCTGACCATGCTACGATGTTCTGACACCAGCAGGATCTCCTTATTGACCTACACCATCACATACTGTCCTACACCAGTCAAAGCGGAAAAACGGCGGTGCGATGCTGAGCCAGGAGTTTTGGTGTTGGGCATGAAGCGCAGCTGGTCCTGTGCAAAAGCGGATGCCCAGTGCGGACAGTGTCACAATGCGTTGAGAATTGCTCCTTGTCCAGGAGATCCAGCGCGCTGGTGAAGATGATCTTGCGGTCACATGCCAGCGCTTTCTCAGCTCGCATCGCCGTTCTTTTCCTTCGTGCTCAAGTAACCCTTGATCACAGCGCGGCGTGCGCAACAGACACTTTACCCTCAACATGTGGCACGAACAGCTCATGGGGTCACTGGGCATGCTGTGCCCTGCATCTTGGTCGGAGCAATGCAGGACAGGTCCTCCTCTTCAACTTCGCTGCAAGCTCTGCTGCTTCACCTTCCCTCAGAAGCTGCAAACTTCAGTCGTACGTTTCCAGATGGCTTCTGAAAAAAATCGGCGTGCTTTTGAAGGGGATGGACGGATCATAACCGGGGGTTAGGGGTTATTTAGGGTTTAGGGCTTGCGGCCCTGAATTTTGGAGCCTGCACAGGCTGTTGATGCTGTTGAAAATGGATCCCGGGGCCCACAAGCGTTCAGGGTTTAGGGTTTAGGGGTTTATGGGCTTATCTGCTCATCTCACGAGGAAACGAAAAAGGGCTTGATATGGCTTGATATACAGCATCTGCCATGATCCAAGTTGCTGAGTTGCTCTTCTTGCCTTCTCCCGCCCCTTCGTGATGAAGGCCTGGGCACAAGGAGTCCACTTAGTGCTCCTGAATTCCTTATGTGCTACCAAGCAAGCCACTGCAGTCGAATTGCATTCAAGGGGGTATCCCAGCTTACGTTGTAGCAGATCTGATCTGTTAGTTCCCGACTTGGGGGAAACCCGAAACCCTAAGCCCTATATATCCCTTCAGACTATACACCCTGTAAATAATGCCTGTTTCAGTGAACCCCTATGTAACCCTGTATATACCCCTATATACCCCTATAATCCCTTCTAGGGAGACCCCTTGCCATACCGGATCTCCACAGCCAGACCCGCCTTGGCCCTTGTTAGCATGCTGATCCGGTTCTGCTTCTTCTTGGCCTTGCGAGGCACGGGGTTTAGGGTTTAGGACTTTGTTGGAAGCCGGAGGACTTTTACGTCCGCCCGAAAGCACCGGTCTTTGCCCAGGGTTGAAGGTGTATGATTTAAGGTGTATTACCATTACTTACGGTTTGGGGGGTGTCATTTTGAGCATGGAATTTTGGGAATTTTGAGATTAAGGAAGTTCGAATACCCTATGCAATTGTAAATTTACATGGTCTTGAGGGTTGAGGGTTTAGGCTGAGATGTCAGGATCCCATAATGGGACAATAACGCTAGTCATCGAAATCATGATAATAGTAAGAACAATGAAATGCGATGAAGAATCAGAATATTGATAATAGTGCTGATGCTGAGAATAAGTCACGAACAGTACTAACGAGAGTAATACTCATAATGAACATAGTAATTAGTGACAACAAGAATGAAGGTCATAATAATGATACCTGTGAGACTACTCAGACTATAGCAATTAAAAACCTCGAAATAGCAGTACAAGTAACAAATATACTAATCAGAAAAAGTAGTCATAAAAGTGATAATAGGAATATTAACAAAAGTAGTACCAGTGCGAAGAATCGTATTACTAGCGGGAATGCTAGTGCCAATAATGGTGAAAATGTATAATAGTGATACTGGTCTGAATCATAAGAGTGTAGAAGTTGCTAGCAACACCAGTGACAATAAGAACGGTAGTGGTAACAATTATAATGATAATAATAGCAATAAGAATAATTCTGTTGATAAGACTATTATCAGTAAGAAGCACAACAACGACAATGATGATAACAAACATAACTAACAAGAATACCAGTAATAGTCATGCGAGAGTAATCGTAACGATAAGAATAGCAATGAAAATCGTAATAATAGTGATTGATAGCAATACTAGTCATAACCGAAGTACAAATACTTTTAGCAATGATAGTGACAATCGAGACTATGCTCATCATGATAAGAGGAAGCGAGCAGAACTCAGCTGCCTTCAGAATTGGTACCATGAACCGGCCAAGCCCACCAAGTCGCCGCACGCGGCGAAGAACCCTCGTAGCAACAAGGCAATGGATCAGCAAGTTGTGTTTGCATGTTGAGAGTCGGCAGCAGGAAGGCTTGGCCCTCCCACCTCTTCTCCCTGGAGAGAATCTTCTCCCTGGAGATAAACTTCACCTCGCGTCAACGTCAGGCAACTAAAATGGAAGCCAACTTGTATTAAGAGACCTGAAAGATGCTGAGTTTTGATGGTTCCTATCTTGCAGTGCTCCCTAGCTTGGAGACTTTTCTGTATCCTTGACCGTACTCCTTCTTTTACATTCAGTCCGGACGATAACACTTAAGATCTTGCTGAACACAAAACTAGGCTACGAGACTTACACAGGGCAGTGCCCATGGCCCATTGCCAATGCTTTCCGTAGGAGTACAATTCGCAAGCAACTCAGGGACCCATCCGGTGCAGGTCTAAGGTATCGGTGATCACGAAGATACCTCTACGCAGGTAGGGTAATGCTTTTTTGTGGGTGGGTCACGTAAGATTCTATTCGTCCTGTACAAAGAAAAGGTACCCCCCATTTACAATGCTAATCAGTTGGCCTGTGTGGTTGCTTTTCCAGCAGCCGATCGCTCATCCTCGTCGCCTCAGCACAGCACAATCTCTCAAAAATCTTCTCAGCCAGGCCCATTAAACCGGAGGGTTGCGGGCACAATATGGCACGTCCATTAAGCACATGAGTTCTCTGCATGAGGCTTTACAATTTAGGCTTTTTTCCCTCCCGCTTGGCTGTGACGCATGCGGGGACAATTGGATCCGAAAGCAAGTAGGCTGAACGCAAGCCTACTTGTCGAAAACCGAAACGAATTACCATAGAACAGGCACCCCACAGAATGTAGACAACAGCATTAAACAATTTAGGCTTTAGGCGGCTTGAGATTGGGGATGGGGATCGCTACCCGTGTTCAGGCACCGCCAATGCATGTTGTTGGAGTCTGGCCACATGTGAAACAGAATGCTCATTGGTGATGATCAATTCTCCTACGAGCACAGTTTGACAAACCAGCCCAGGAGACGTGGCAACTTTGGTTACCTGCACAGACTTTCTGTCTCTCTCTTTCTTTGGAAATGTTGGTGCGCTATGGCGTGACCGCTGTCTTCTTCTTCTATGGGCTATGCAAGACCCTTAGGCCTTGCCAGGGCGAACCCCAAAGCCCGTGCACAGGTCTCGTGTCCAGTCTTCCCAGGAGGCTCGGAGCATAGATCATTGTGAATGAAACCGGGCCTCCAAAATTAGAACTGTGAACTGAGTATGATCTTTCCAATTATAATGCCCAGGTTCCATTCCCAAGTGATGAAGCTCCCTTCTCCAGTGGGTCTCTCTCTCTCTCTCTCTCTGCCGGGTGTGCAAACTAGAAACTTGGAGCTTGAATCAACGTCGGAAAGAGCTCGTGCAATTGCTGCGCGCCGCACCACTCCTCAAGTCGAGGCATGTCACTGTTGGTCACGGAGTCTTTCAGGCAACGTTGCCTCCGTCTTTCTGCCAGCAGCTGCTGCTGCGGCGCCCCGTTCTTGGAACTTGCTCTGCAAGCCCCCCTGATTGCAGAAAGGAGATGTCCGACCTGCCGTCCACAAATACACCCAGCATGCAACATGTGCTCCAGACTCGCAACACGCAGTCGGCCAAAGCAAGGCAAGCAGAGAGGGCGTGTGTTATGCAAGCCTGCGTACATGCGGTAGCGCAGCACGGCTCCATCCTGTGCCATCTACTCATCGCAAACCCAGAGCTGTTAGAAACGTCCATGGGAGCTGCAAAGTCCTTCGCAAAGTGCCGCACCGAAAATTCGGCGTCCTCACGCTCGCAAGCATGCACGCAGGCACCAAGCTGGTCTTTGTGAAGATTTGCGCTACTCCTCTTGCGCAAAGCAACCGCAGTGGCCTCCACGGAGTCACTCAACCGCCGAAGCAGGTCCGAAGCTGCATCAGGACGACAAATGAAGCCATGCAAATACCTGACGTTTGATGCGTGTTACCCAAAGCAGACCCGGGCTGACATAGCTGGGGCACCCGTTGATCAAACCATTGCGCAAGGAGCACACTGTTAAACCTGGGTGCGCAGCGGACAGGAGTTGTGTGCAGGCTACGAGCCACGTCCAACTTATTCCTGCCTTCCGCTTTGAATTAAACTCCCTTTTTCTTGAAGAGATTCAAAAAGATTGCACAGGAATGAAATCAATTTCGCATCAGCGCAATACAATGTGGAGCTCATTGCTGCCACCTTTTTGCATCCAGCTCTTCTGTACCACCTCGTGCCCTGAACTACTTGGCAACTTGCACCAAGAGAGACAAGTGTCTCAGAGATCGAGGGTTCTGTGAGGTGCTGAGACCCCACAGATGTGCACCAGCTTCCTGCAGCCGACAAAAAGCATACAACCCAGTCTTCCTACTCCTGAGTGGAGCAACACCCATGTGCGGTCCACTTTGAAGTCCTTCATGCGCTTGTACGCATCATAGATAATCTTCACAAAGTTGCCTCAGCTGACCAAAGGAGACCGCGAATCTGCGTACATGCACCATATGGTGATCTCCCAAAATCAGGGATTTTTTTTGGAGGTCCCAATAAAATGGACTTTCAATGGACTTTCGCATTTGGGAATGGTTTGGGTGCCCTTATTGTCGGAAACTACCATAACTCGCAACAACGCATGGAATCCATTAGATGCAGCGCATCGCTTTGGTCAGCTACATCCCACCTGCCGGCAGATCCACGCAGGTCGAATCCGTGGTGCCTTCCCGTACTTTCCACCTTGTAATGCCAAGGTCATAGCAAAACCTGCTGTGAAATTCAACCTTTTGAGCTGAGGTTCTGTATCCCTTCCATGTCATCATCCAAGCTCACCACATAGGTGTTTGCAGGAAAATATTTGTATATGAAATTGCCTTCGTGTCAGGGGCAAGAAAGCAGCATCGTCGCAAGGCTTATGCTACGGCAATCAAGCTGTCTCCTGCCAGGCCCTTTGCCAAGGCACGGCTGTCACGAATACCAGGGACCGAAACGACTATCCGTACATCTGCCCATTCTGATCCCTCCGAACAGAGCAGCAGTAGAGTGTGAAAGGTGCCAACATTTGATGGCAAGAGCAGGCGACATGTAGCAGTAAAATGCATACAAACACGAAAGAGCAACCCCTCGCAGCCTGCAAAGCCTCACGGTAGCTCTGGGCTTCAGCATCGTTCGCCACGAAAAGAGTTACACGGCTCTTGGGAACTTCTTCCCTGGGCAGCTGGCATTCAAACAAAAATGCGGGCTTTCACATCCAAATGTCGCGAGCTCTGACACCAAAATGTCAGACATGCATGCCCAGACTTTGTGCGTTTGGTAGAGCATGATTTGCTGGCCTGCCTCGTCAAGAAGTTGAGGGTGTGATCCAGGATGAAGGCGCTCTTCATGTCTTTGAATCGCTTTTTCGGCGCCACTTCTGGTGTTGGGCGCCATCGTCTGTACGTTGGTACAACAACCTGGTATGCAGGGACAAGTGCTCCAGAGTTCCACGCTATCAAGCCGAGCCCTTGGCATCACCCAAATGGGGGTTTCCTACAATTAGGGGTACCGTTTGGGGGTCCCCATAATAAGGACTATAATATTTTGGGGTCTAGATTGGGGTCCCCTATTTTGGGAAACTACCAAATGAGTTGAAGTTGATCACTTGCCTCGAAGTCGACTTCGTCCGCAGTTGTTGTCAAGTGCGGAGCCAGCGCAGCCTGTGGGTCCCAATCCGCCTGAGTTGGCGTGAGCCAGCACATCCCACTCTCTCTCTTCCAACAATATGTTGCCGATGCAACAAGAGTGTAACAACTGGGGCAATATTCAGTGGCAATACCTTCCACACTACACTTGGATGGCTTTCCACGGAATGAACATTCCAAATCCGCCTGCGGCGCGTTGGTGACGTCATTGCCCGCGGACGACATGATCTAATTAAGGCCAGCTCTCAAATACCAATGTTTCTCCATTTCCATCTGCCCATCTGTTTGCAAGGTTGTTGTTCCACAACACCCAGTACCCAAGCGCACACATGATGTCAACATGAACCCTAGTCTAAACTCCCAATATCCCCCTTAATAACCCCCATAATAGTTCTCTATATAATCCCTTATATAACCCCCTTCAAGGACTTTAGATTATGGCTCACATGGATACATGCATCAACCGTGATCCAACCTCTTTGCAGCACTAAGCTGACTGAGCCAAAGGGCTGCAGGCATGGAATTCTGGCCAGACCAGGTCGGAATGGCAAAGGACTCAATGTGGGCGTTTCCCAAAAGCCCAGTCCTAGATCAAGCCTGCGATGTGAAAGGATGTTACCTCCGAATGCATGAAGGAACCCTCCTCCAGCCCTCCTTCCCCAAAAACCGCAGCGCAATCGAACCGTCAGGCATGGGCAGACATTCCCGTCCAACATGTTCTTCCATTACTGTCATCTGGAGTTGAAGTGGTGGAACCATTTTGTAGCCTGCCCTTCCCTGGAACAGATGAAATTCATTCTCGCCCAGCAGGCAGTCAAGATGAGCTCTTAGATAAAGAGGACAGTCCCAGGACTACAGTCATTTCCAGTGTTGAACGAAGCCAAAAGTTCACAAGTTGCTAAGGGTAAGGCTGCAAAGTGCGTTTAGCTGACTACCTTCGAGCATGTTGCGGCATCGTACAAGCGACAGGGTCAGCAGAGCTTCGGGATTCTGACCTTGGCGTGGCCCTCGACAGGAAAATGGCTCAAAGTTCTCATAGGCCGCGCCAGACTAGATGAACCAAAGAGGATGCGTGCATGTGATGCCGCATGAAAAAACCAGTTCGCGTCGGCTACATCCATAAGAAACTATGACCAGCCATGTGTTCATACATACAGGTTCTCAAGGAACCTGCAGCATCTCGCCAGATCTCGCCAGAAACAATACATGCTGTCTCTGCAAGTCTCTTGGCAAGCGATTCCATGTCAGGAAGTTGACATGGGGCCAATTGAGCCATAGTCTAAACTCCTAGTATCCCCCTTCATAAGCACTATAATAGTCCCCTATATAATCCCAGTCAAGGAGTTTAGACTATGGCTCAATTGCCCTGGAAGGTCAAGGACAATTTTGAACACAGGTCGCGATCGGACGGTTTGAAGCCGGCCACAGAGCCACTTTTTGGTCTCTGGCACATCAGCCTGTTGGCCACTTAACAGTTGCTGTTGCAAGGTTTGTACATGGACAGCTGCTGCTACCTGTGGACCTGTGCACTAGACACTTGTCTGCATTCTGAAGGCACGGGCATTCAAGCTCCCGCTGTTCAGAAGTCAGGGAACAATGCATAAGAAGCTAAAATGATATATTATAGTATAGCAATTTCCATTTTCTTTTCCGTGATCCCTACATACTCCTATAAAATCCCTATATAACCCATTATGGTAGTTTCCATGTTCTTTTCCATTATCCCAATAGACTATAGTATATCGATCTGTTATTCAATACAAGCCTTCCTGCACTGCAAGGCCTGCGCTGCTCTCAAGGCGTCGGCTTACCGATGGTTTTTTAAACCCAAAGGGAATGCCTAACTGCCGGAGATTTTCCAGCCTCACCTTCATCGGCCCTACATTTTTCAAAATAGCGAAGACATCTGAATTTGTAGCAGGAAGTCGGAACCTTTGAAAGAAAATGAGCGTCAGGAGTTGACACGGTGCGCTCGTTCTTGCTTTTGGCGCTCCTCGTGCTCCTGAATGACCTTCAGCACATTCCACCCTTGGGCCTGGGTCATGGTTTGCAATAAATCACTAACGGCAAGCATTCATCAACCACTTGAAGCTGTGCAAGGTACGCTATGGAACCCATCCAAAGGCTCCGGTCAAGTTGCTCATATCTCTCAGTAGGGGTGTTCTTCCCCCCCCCTTCCATACCAATCCTCGATGCACACCCACAAAAGCCCAAACACCTCAACACGGAAACATTCCCTACTCAAAACTCGCCATTTGGGATCGTACGAAACTGGGCATGCCCCCATTCAGTGCAACCCCACTACAGGAAATGTGAGAAAAGGGCCGGATCGTGTTCTCAAAGCTCCTTCTTCGACTGTCATTCAAGGAGCCAGCTGAAACGGCGTGTGCCCCCGCGCGTTTCGTAGCTCCGAGTCGGCTCGAGCCTCCAGCCTGCAATATCGCTCACAACCCTATGCTCCTTGTATAATTACTTTCATATAGTTCTATAATTGTTCTCGGTACTGTTCTCTTAGCAATATTCTTACTAGTACTACTAGTATCGAAAACACCTTCGCCTCACTGGTGCTCCAAATGTTTGTGGCACTATTGAAATCATACTATGCGCTATCTAGATTAGTCACTGTCCAAAAAACAATTGCTCAAGTAAGCTTGGCAGCAAGAAGCAAACCATCTGCTCACTGCCAAACAAGCCTTGATCATGACTTGAATCTGCGCAAACAATTTGATTTCATGTCCCCCTGAAATCAATACTCGTGTTCTCTCTTCCTCAAACCTAGACTCTAGACTCTAGAAAATCATTCGGGCTTCTACATGAAAACCCTACCAGTACTTGTCTGGGAAAGCTGGTCGAGCGCCTCTCTACAAGTGCAAGAACTATGAAGTGATAGCGCTTTTGCATGACAATTCGTGAATGACGATTACACCCTAAAATCACCTCATGGTCGTCGGCAAGTAGTCCTCAGTTCATTGTTGAGTTTTTGAGACGTTGTAGATGTGCATGAAAGATTGACGCCTGTCGAATAATGCTGGCAGATCCAACTGAGTTTTCATGTGTTTTCGTTAACACCCTCACAACGCTTGGGCACAGATCTGGCTTTGTTTCATTCACGTTCCAGCTGAGATTCCAGCGGATGAGACAATTTTACTGCAAATGGGACTCAGGGACACGCAAATCCCAACGGCGTAGTGGTCCACTCCGCAAAGGTCGAAGCCAAAATTCGACACCGAACCTCAGCATCTTTACGGCAGCGCAAAAAAAAAGAGCACTCCCATTCTTCAGAAGGTTCCCAAGATCATGAACATGAAAGCTTGATAAAGCTTCGTTTCAACACTGCCCTAGGGACGCTGAATGCGCCTCCTGACATGGATTCAGATTCCAGCCACAGATAGGCGCGCGAGACCCACTCGACCAGCCGCCACATGCCACCAGCCGCGCACTGCTGATTAATATCACACCTCTGGATGTCTGAAAAATGCTGAATCCCTGCTCGGGCGGGCCCCCTCTTGTTGATGATTTCGCGGGAGCTCGGCACATGAATTTGGACATGCACCCGCCTTTCGGCCACTAAAAGCCTGGCCACCTCCAAACAGTGAGGATTTACAGCTGCTGTGAGGGCAAGGTGGGCAAAGGGGTGGGCCGTGCCAAATCCGCCCACTGTGGGTGGACTCACCTGAAACATGTAAACGGGCAAGCTGCAAGCACTCTGGCCCACATGGGTTCAGAGCATTCTTCAAAAATGCAAAATCTTATCAAACAAGGACCCTGCCACGTCTGCACCTAATTCCAAGAGCTTGGCCACCACTGCCAGAGGGGCGCATGCATTGCAAGCCAAGCTCAGAACGGGGACTTTGATGTAGGCAGATCGCTTGTTCACGTCTGCTCTGTGCTCAACAAGCTTTACAACATCCCTGACAGTTACGCATAATGCTAGAACAGGGATTCCTGGTACATCAATTGCGTTCGCATCCGCCTTGGCTTCAAGGAGACCGTCTAGCACTGCAGGGCAATGCCACGCATACCTCACTGCCAAGTAGATTGGCGTGTAGCCGTTCGGGACCCCAACCTCCAATAGCCCTTTCAAGGGTTTGCTGGGTGCCTGCGCTTTGCTGAATATGGAAATGGTGTCTGCATCGCCAGCAAGAGTTGCGCAGGCAATGGCGCCCATGCCTGTCTCTCGAACCGCTGCATCAAAGCATTTGAAGCGGAAGTCGGCAAGGAAGGTGGTAAGATTCCTCAAGTATCGTCGAACCCCTTCGACGACTGCAAAGAAAGTGGAAGCAACAGGTTGCAGAATGTGGCGCTGGCAGCAGCCACGGGTCGCAGCAGTGGTGCTGCAGCAGCAGCACCGCTCCGGCACCAACCCACCGCCCCATCACCCCACCACTCCATCACCCCACCACCCCATCACCCCACCACTCCACCTCCACCGCCGCCGCCACTGCCACCGCCACTGCCGCCGCCACCGCCACCGCTGCCGCCACCCCCACCCCCACCATCAGACACCCCCACCGCCACCACCGCCAGAAATAGCAGAAAACTTGAAGTAGGAGGCGCAGCAGAAGGAACAACATCGAGGAAAGTAAGCAGAGCAACTGCGCTGACAATTACATTAAATTATGGCCGTATCAATGACAAAAGCAACAAATGCAACAATCACAAAGAAGACAATGACAAGAACGAACGACGATAAGGAGGGCACCAACAAGACCCTCACCACAGTTATGGTCACGGCCCAGACCCTAACGACGTTAACCACAGTAAGATTTGAGCGCCGCAGTAGTGCCGCCAGAGCAACAGCAGCAGCAGCGGCAGCGGCAGTGGCAGTAGCAACAGCGCCAACAGTGGGACCAATTGCAACAAGCGCAACAGCAGCTGGAGCATGCTAGTCCGTCCTCTTTCGTCTCTTGTTCTTTTATAATTTATAACTGACATTCTTTTCATTTTCGCAAGGTATGGGAAATGGATCTCTCATGTGGGCTTCCAATGGGTTCAAGTGTTTTCTCTTGACCAGCAAGTCCCCAGGTGGAAACATATCAATCGTCACACTGTTAAGAACAGATACTATACAAAAGAAGCTTAAGCCCGAGTTAAATCCTGAACAACCCCAAGACCCAAACACTAAGCAACCCCAAGCCCCAACAGTCCCAAAAGCGTGGGTGAACCACAGCCGCGGCGCGTCAGTGATAATGACATAGGCAGCTTTAGCAGCAGGAGCAGTCGCAATCACGGCAACAACACCCGCGGCAGCAGCGGGAGCACCACACTGGCAGGCGCAACAACAGGTAGTATGACAATTATCGACCCGATTCGTGCTATTTCAAACCCAGTTTTACCAGTTGCCGGTTCTCAGGATTAGAACATCTACAATGGCCTTCTGAAACATCCAAGTTTCCGACTCCGTGAGGGAAGCCCGAGCAAGACTTCGTATCTGGCTACGAAGTAACGGTACATTTCCCACTTCTTCCTTACTTGTCAAGCTTCCTTGCCCAAAAGCTCTAGGCTGCCAGTCGCTGCGACGCGCGCTCAAAAGTAAAAGCTGCTCTACATTCAATGGTTACGGGTGCATGGGATTTTTGCTGAATACATGCAGTGTGTCACGTTGCCTTTGTCTCCAACTCAAAATTTTTGTGCCAAAAAGATACCAAGCGTCTTTGCCTCAAGATCACGAAGCTTCTGGTTCAAAGCCTCACGCATTATTTGGAAAATCACATCGCGGTCCGCCTCGACAGTGAACTGACCTCCGGGGTGAATACCGTCATTTCAGACATTCGCTACTAGTGCAAACATGTATTGGATTAGAAGATCGTCACTGTTTGATCGGGGTGGCCCCGGACACTTGGGAGGAGGGCTTGTTTCCTTCACCTTCCTGCGATTCAAGGCCTCAAAAGAGATGTCACAAAGGAAAACTAACAGTGGTCCCCTTGTTTGGCGCTTGGCCTGCATAGGAACGCAGGAGTCATCGTGTAATTTACGATGCTAGATGTAGGGGAATGCAAGGGAATATAGGGGAATGTCGGGGATGTTGTAGAGATCGTAGTTTGAGGAGGTGAGCTGACGTTGCCGCTCACAAATACCAAAACAAGGTCTATCCCTACCAGGAAAAGCCGAAGCCGTTTACAATTTCATGCAAGACCTCCGAGGCGAGGATGGATCAACTGCAATGAGACATCGTGAAAATGGCGCCTTGGTTAGGCGGACCACTCACCCACTGCCACGGTTGCACAAACTCCGCCTGGTCAGGCGAAGAGATGACCTCCAGTTGCTCTTAAAAATGCTTGCGGCAATACACTGTCTCCTCATAACTGTTACTTGTGAAAGGGGCCCTTGCAGTTCAGGAAACCTAACGAAAATGCCAGGCGCAACAGCTTTCGCGAAGATCATAACCATACTTGTGTAAGTGGCTACCAAAGTATGTTCGAATTTGCGTCTATACTGAAATCAGCAAACCTGTACTCATGTAGTTTGGAAAGTCACAGCCACAGGCATCTTCGTCTTGCCGAATAGAAGCTTGCACCAGACCTGGCACGTAGGCTCTGCAAAGCAGCGGTGCTCCAAAGCGCTCTCCCTTTCTGGGATCCTAGAGGTTCTTCAACCTGCAGTTTGGAAAAGTCCTGCCTCAGCCCTGCACCAACCTCTTGTAAACCAGCTTACATAATTACACGGAAGACCAGTGTCATGATGCACGAGTGGCGGCACCAAAGTTACGAAGACGTCACATGCTCGCACAAAGAACGGGATGGCATGAATGTTCAAGTCCTGAGTGGTTTGGATTGTCCTTGTCGAAGTCCACCGTATCTGTTTGGAGAACTGCTGACTCTCGGAATCAGCGCTGGCAATATCAATCCGCTCTTGTGGCACGCTGAAGTAGTCAAGCCAAACCTGTGTCATTCGTTGAATACCACATCATGGTTCACATAGGTTGAGAAGTTTAGGGACAAGAGAAGCGCACCCCAAAAACGGGTCAGACGTATAGCGAGAAAAGAAATATGTTTCTCACTGCGGAAACAGACACATATGCATGGCTAAGCCGCTTGCGGTCAGCACGCGAGAGTTTCTGGAATTCTCCCAGGAACATGGCTCCTGCCGTATGCCTACCTTTGCATCCAGGCCTCTGTAGGTCACAGCAGCTTCCTAACCTAGAATCAAGAACCTCCCAGCGAATTTCCAGGTTGGGTAAAACTGGATAAAGGCAGCATCCCACCAACTCTGGCTCGTGTCCTTCACAACAAGACGAGGTTTCCATTTCGGCAGTTTGAGGTAGGCGACCAGCGACCATGCCCCTCACATTCCCTCACGCTACCTATTTTGCCTGCATACCATCCTGCACCATCCTTTGCCTTCCCTCATGGAACCAGTGCACACGTAGCAGGGGCAGCATCAGGCAGAACTCCATGCAAGATGAATGGTCCGGAGACGTACTGCATGCCAGGACATATGACAGCAAGTGCATCCCTCCCGCCAGCCCGCATCAACAAGTATATTGCGCATGTTGTTTCACGGCAAAGCCTCTCTGTGCTTTTGCGTGTGCCAGATAAGGTCGAGGACTCCTGCCAGACGACTGACACAGCACAGAGCATCTTCGACGCGTCCTGCGCAGAAACACGCCGCGATTGCTCGGCTACTCAACAAGTGACCGACAGTCACGACATCAGACATGCTGCCCTCGGAACCCCTACATACACGCGCAAGCCGTGCGCAACTTGGCTCACAAAAACAGGCAAACCGTGCGCAACTTGGATCACAAAAACACCTGACAAAATAATCACAATGATCAACCGTGCAAACTTTTCAGCATATTTCCCCCTCAGCCACATAGGTTCCCCCGGAGCCATTTCGATCATCCGCAGTGTCACCTTGGCACCCCCACGTCACACGCAAACGGCAAAGGCCGCATGATGTCATCATGCAACACAAGCAACCATATGCAAAGGGAGCGCTAGCATGAAGATACCTGCATCCTGGAAAATATCCATCCATCCAACTTGCACAGATTGGCTTCAAAGCCTGACATGTTGGAAGCTACCGTTGCTCCAAGAAAGCGTGACCAGAATCCCCATGCCGCCTAACATATGGCATGCTTTGGCCAAAACCCGGAGAAGGACTCAGGCCACAATGGCTACTTTATGCTGCAGCGCTGACAATGTTGGATTTTGCGATAAGACGCGTAAAAACGGTGGTGCTTTGCTTAACGTGCGTTTACCCCACTGACTGCTTACTTGCAAGGAAACCTCCAGTGCAATCGAGCGAAATAAGATTGAAAGTTTCGTGCTGTCACAAGTGCCACTGTCACCGACATGCTGCGTGCTTCCAAAATCAGGGATCTACGCCCTTTCACCCAAACCGAATCAAACCGTTGCCGAAATAAGTGGCTACATTGACGAAAACAACTACTTTATTTGCGCGCTTCGTTTCTAGTAGTTTTGCGTGGTTCGCGATTCACATGATACTCAGAATCCTCCTACATTGATGCATGCTGTACCCCATCAGTCCTGCATCCACGGAAACTTGCGTCTTACCTTGCAGGGGCGGATGTTCCCCAGGCCCAGCTTAACATTGTGATTCATAGTGTAAGCGGCTGTTCTTCTAGGTGCAACGACGACTCCAATCACATGTCTTCCAGAGCCACCAGCTGAAACGCTATCAGTAGAGTAGAGGTGAAAATAAAAGCTTCGCCAAAACAAAACGCAAACAGATCATTAACAACGCGACATCGCCAGTCATTCGACAAAAAGACACAATCCGTGAAAAAAACAGCACGAACCACATCATGTGCGCTACTTAAATAATGAAACGACGATCTGAATCGGGCCTGCAATGATGTTGCGCAAGGCCTGCTGAAGTATCTCCAGCTGTTGTCCACACGGGTCTGGATGCGTCTTGCTCAGCCATTGGTGCGATACGAATATACAATAGAAGGAACTTTGCCTGACTGCAGCTGCAATCTTGGCTTGGAGTTTAGGGAGTTTGCAAGGCTAGGGGTCATGAGGTAAGGTTTTACTTGGGAGGTCGTAGGGCGTTGTCAAACAAGTGGAACTAATTATTGCCGTGTTTCGGTACAATACTCAACATTCCAAGCCATACCCAACTAAACCTCAATACCACGTCACCCCTCCAACTAAGGTTGCAGTTTTACTGTGTCAGGTTCAGGGTTTCGTCAGAAAGCGC